AGCAGGCTCGGGGGCTACACCCACCGGGTGCGCTCGCGCGCACCCACTGGCAAGTCAAAAAATCCCCCTAGCGATTCTACCCGAATCACTCAGGGGCTCAGGGGCTACTGTCGGGGACTAATACTAGGGTACCCGAAGAGGAGCTAATAACCATCAGCATTAATTCATTCGAGTGGTCAAAAGCGGGACCACACCTCTTGCTAGGCTCCGCCTCGTCTGACCCCCGAGGGTAGGCCCCGCCTTGTCCGACCCCCGAGGGTTGGCTCTGCCTTGGCTGACCCCTGAGGGTAGGCTCTACCTCGTCCGATCCCTAAGGGTTGGCGCCGCCTCGGCCGATGTCCGAGGGCTGGCTCCGCCTCAGCTGACTCTCGAGGACAGGCTCTGCCTCGTCCGACCCCTGAGAGTTGGCTCCACCTCGATGGACACTGAGGCCACGGGCTCCGCCTCGCTCGACCCCCGAGGGTCGGCTCTACCTCGGCTATCTTCCAAGGGTTGGCTCCATCTCGTCCGACCCCCAAGGGTTGGCTCTGCCTCGCCCAATGTCTGAGGGCTGGCTCCACCTCGCCCAATCCCTCGAACACGGTTCCTAACGAAAGCTCACATCGCCGCCAATCACTACGGGCCAGAAAGTACCACTCAAGGTCAAACTTCTGGCATCGTGCAGGAAACAGTCACATCTCAACATGACTCGTCCCCATGACATGTCATTTCAGGGGATTCACATCGCCTATAGTGACGGACGCGTGGTCACTGTGCTGCCAACTCCCTGCCTGACCACTGTCTAACGTCAGTCGACCAGAGTCAGTTGACTGGTACTATACCGATAGCCCCCCCATGGCCCCTGTCAGGGGACTCTTTAACCATTCCATCCGCTCAGATGGGATGGAAGACAAGAACGACGCATGACGCCCGGACGCATGCTGCAGCGGCCAACAGGACCACGGTACGACGCCGCTGCTACCATGATCTACAGGGTCAGTGGGACCCACACGAAGAGGAGAAAGGCACACCTCCGGGAGCCTGTTTTTCTCTTTCTTTTTCCCTCTTCCCTTCGTTTGTAACCCCTGTTTTCCCTTGGGTTATAAAAGGGAAAGCAGGGCGTCCCACTAAGGGACATCGAACAAGTGCATCACACAGCATTGGTTCACCGCGCCTTATCATAAACAATACACCACCAGATACTTGGGACCAGTCCCTCTCTCGCCCGTTTGTAACCCCTACTACGAACTTTTTCGTGCTAAGTAACACGAGCTGCAGCAACGAACTAGACGTAGGGACATTCAGCCTGAACCAGTATAAACCTCGTGTCCTCTTAGCACACCATCCGAGCCAGACGCGCAATAATACAAATTTAATCGTTGGTGCTTACTCAAAACACCGACAAAAACGGGGGCCATAATCACGATTACACAAATGTTTGTATGTTGATTGCACAGAAAAGAAGCCAGATCTCTCCCATTCCCAAATGGCTCTATCATTCTCAGAAGTAATACCGTACCGGTAAACAATGTCATATAGTCTTCTAAGTTGGCATTGAAGATCTTCATGTAACCATCTCCTGAAAGAAAGACGCCAACTTTTCAGTTTCATATATTGAACAGAGCAGTTTTGCTCCTCACTAATCTCATACAGCTAGCGGCGGATCTAGGAAAAAATTTAGTGGGGGCTGAACAAAAGTGCGACAACAACATACCTCCGACTGCGGCTCGATCTTAAGTCTCAGCCCCACCTACACGATAGAACTTTGCCTAAAAATTCATGGGGGCTCCGTGTATCGGGTAGGGGGCTCGAGCCCCCCCCCATGCCAGAAGATGGTAGATTTGCCATTACCCACAATCATGGCCCTACCCTTCAGATACACATGTCTCACTTTCAAAAGGTCATTCCAAACAGGAGAATTTTTGGGGCTTTTAGTTAGCAAAGCGATTGGGCCCTTCTTTAAATATTTTTTCCTAATAATGTCCTGCCAAATTCCAGCACCATTTTCAGCTTTCCACTACCACTTGCACAGCAGACTTATACTCATTCTCCTTAAGTCTTTAATTCCAAGCCCCCCTTTACTTTTTGGCTTTGTGATTTTGACCAATTTGATAAGATGGTACTTTTTCTTCATATCCCCCCCCCTGGCAGTGTCCATCTTGTTGATGACTGACACAGGCAGCCAAAACATGGACATAGCATAAATCGGGAGATTACTTAAGCAGGAATTGATCAAAACCAGCCTACCTCCCAAACTTAAAGCGCTACCCTTCCACCCATCAAGTCTTTTAAATAGTTTTTCACTGATAGGCATCCAATCTGCAACATGCAATCTAGAGCCAGCCACAGAAACACCCAAATATTTGATGGGCCATTTACCAATTGCACAGTTAAACATATTAGAGAATTACAGGCTTTTAGCATCATCTTGACTAATCATAATGACTTCGCTCTTAGAAAAATTAATTTTGAGGCCAGACATGCTCTCATAAAGATAAAGTAACAGTTGAGATGAGCAGCTTGTTCTGTATCATCTTGAATGCATAAGATTGTATCATCAGCGTACCGGAGGACTGCCACCCCATTATCTATGTATTCAGCTCCAATCGGGACTAATTCTTTCTTTAGTCCCAGGCCCAAAAATGGGCCTCATTCGCTTCGCTGAAAAAACAAACAGAAACACTGTTCCAACTGATTTGTTGTGAGAGAAAAATACTGTTCCAACTGAAAAAACAGGCTAAACGAACCGGGCCATGACCGGGACTTAAACCTAAAACCGAAAGTTTGTTGTCGACTAGTGAACGGTGTTGGTACGGTGGAGTTAAGTGCGTGCCAATAGTGGTAGCTTAACTTGGTCAAGCCAATCGTAGGTTCCTCACAATACTTATACTCAATACATGTAACAACTCATTCCGATTTTTTGTACTTCTAGAAGCTAATAACTCTTTCATTAAATTTCTTCTAATCCCAACAAACAATACTACTATATGTAGCTAGCAACAAATAGTTGTTAATTTCTCAAATAAGTTGCAATCATATTAGTTGTACCCTATGTTATGTTCAGCTGCTATCACACATCAGAAAAGGTCCTTACACACAATTTAAAACAAGTTTATTAAAATAACTACAAAATTATTAAATGACCGGTGTGTAAATTAAATTGTGTTTACATCCTATCAAGTACATTTTGGAATACTCCCAATAGGCCAGTACTCCTCATCCGTTATTGTGTAATTTAGCAGCAAAAGAAGGTCTTTCAAAGTAGATTTTGATTTTAAATTTATGTCACAATGTATTGTCTATTACTACAAAAGCTACTTCATCTTAAAAAACACCCGGCAAAGATTTTATCGGCAAACGTTCTTTGCCGAGTGTTTTTTGTCAGGCACTCGGCAAAGACTTTGCCGAGTGCCCAAAAACACTCGGCAAACATTTTTTTAAGGAAAATAAAAAAAACAAGCACTGGCCGCCACCACCGGCCATTCCAACGCTCGGCAGCCGCACGGGCCACCACCACCGGCCGCTCCAACGCTCGGCCGGCCACCACCACACTGCCACCGCCGGCTGCCTCGCCCGCGCACGCTTGTCGTCCAGGACCGCCACTGCCGTAGGCCGTCTCGCTCGCGTGGGGGCCCGAGACACCGCCAGGGAGCCACGCCACCGCCGCCGTGCGTGGTCGCCCGCCGGGGTCAGTAGCGGTCCGCCCACACGTGGATCCGGTCGTCCCCACCGTGGATCTGGCTAGACCCTAGCTCGCCGACCATGGCCACCACGCGCGGAGCCGCCATGCCCCACCGCCGCCACGCACCACGCCGGCCACCACCAGATCCGACCGCCACCGGTAGAGGGAGGGCCGCATCCGGCTGGGAGAGGGAGGGCCGGGGAAGAAGAAGGGGAGGGAGCGCCGGGGAAGAAGAGGGAGGGGCGCCAGCGGGACGCCGGTGGCAGCGGTCCGGGAGGGGAGGGGCGCGCGGGGTGCTCGGGTGGGGAGGGGCGCTGGGGAGGGGAGGGGAGGGTATTTGACTGGATTTTTTTTGTTTGCCGAGTGTCCTAGATCTGGGCACTCGGCAAAGTATTTTTTTCTTCTCCTTCTTGTCCAGAAAAAAGATTATTTATTTCTTTGCCGAGTGTTCCAGATCTGAGTACTCGGCAAAGTTTTTTTTTTTATTTTTTTTCTCCTTCTTTTTTAGAAAAAAGATTTTATTTCTTTGCCGAGTGTTCTAGATCTGAGCACTTGGCAAAGTTTTTTTTTCATTTTTTTCTTCTCCTTCTTTTCCAAAAAAATGATTTTATTTCTTTGCCGAGTGTTTTTTTTTGACACTTGGCAAACCTCATCTTTGCCGAGTGTTTTTTTTTACACTTGGCAAACCTCATCTTTGCCAAGTGTTTTTTTTTTACACTTGGCAAACCTCATCTTTGTCGAGTATTTTTTTTTACACTCGGCAAACCCCCTCTTTGCCGAGTGTTTTTTTTTTGCCGAGTGTTTTTAGCTCAGCACACAGTAAAGATCTTATTTACCGAGTGTTCGAGGAAATACAATCGGCAAACGTAAAAACACTCGACAAATTTGAGGATTCCGGTAGTGCACTTTGGATAGAAGTATATACTTGGGCTAGTTATTGGTCTTACAAAATTTGTCTTTTTCTTAGGTTCAAATATTTTTTCCATTGTTGGACTGGATAGAACTTCCCATTTCAAAAAAAAAAAAAACAGATCCCCGCCGCTAGAACGGTAGAACCTCGATCTTGTCAACCGTTGACTTTACAGCCTGACGACACTGAAACTGCAGTTGTGGAACAAGGACAGCCAAAGGCGTCCGTGAATCATTGTTATTAATTTCTCAAACAATTTGCAAGAACAGATTAAGCGCTATTCATCATCTCATAATTTGTCATTTTGTCGGACACGCTTAACAAGAACCAAGTCAAAGCAACGCAAGCCATAAATAAAACTCATTATCTTATTTATAGGCGGACAAGCAATTGCTCCACACAAATTAGCAGCAACAAGCGTGGTGAGCAATGTCTCGAACCAAACCGAAGATGAACAAATCGAACTGCACACTCGGATCACTAACGGCAGGCACCGCGGGATTTATTGAGAAATCAACGAATGCAGACATATATTGGACGAAGACACTGCCTGGTCTTCTATTTGGGCGCGAAGTTTGCCTTGATGTGCTCCACCTCCCCGTCGCCGATCCGGAAGGCCTTGGCGAGGATGTCGGTGGGCACGGGCGGCGTGGCGCCGAAGAGCGTCACGGCGATTTGCTGCGTGCCCTGGAGCTGGCTGTTGAAGGCGGCGACGACGGCGGCGGGGCCGTACCCCCTGTTCTGCTGGAAGTGGACGAGGCCGCGCGGGAAGACGAAGACGTCCCCCATGGTGACCGTCTTGGTGAAGAGCTTGTTGGCGGTGGTGATGAAGCCGACCTCGAGCGTGCCCTCGAGGACGAAGATGATCTCGGTGGCGCGCGGGTGCGTGTGCGGCGGGTTCTGCCCGCCCGGGGCGTAGTCGATGCGCGCGATGGAGACGCCCAGCGTGTTCACCCCCGGGAACTTCTCCACGTTGGCCGCCGTGACCAGGGAGCCCGCCGCGTTGCTGGTGTTGCCGGGCTTCCTCAGCCCGTCGAAGAAGAAGTCGTCCGCCGAGATGTTCGCCTTGCACGGGAACCCATTCAGCTTGACCGCTGCACGTTGCACGCACGCACGCACGGGTCAGAAGTGGAAAGAAACGACTTGAGAAGACCGACGACAGGTTTCGTTTTTACTCACGGGAGGCGTAGTCAGCGACGCAGACGTCCTGGAGCATGTCGGGGTCGCCGGCGAGAGCCGGGGCGGCGAGCGCGAGGACGACGGCGCAGGCCGCGGCGACGTAGAGGTGGATCCTCGCCATGACCGGTCAGTGAGTGGACAGGCCGCTGCTTCCTTAATCTGCACGCTGGTGAGCGATGAGTAGTGTTGTTGTGTCGTGATGAAATGGGAGCACACTACGAGCCCGTACTTATAGGCAGGGACCGGAGACTAACCAGTCGGCCAAGACTGGAGGGGATCTGGAAGGAACCACCGGGGAAGGCGACGACGGGGTAGGAAAAGAAAAACTTGAGAGGACAGAGACAGACAAGCAAGACGCCAGCTTCCCGGCTGTTAGGATGGGAGCGTCGAGACAGAGTTGTTTATGCAGCGTGGACGAACTGCTACACATGCCGGATAATCGGGGCCGCCGAGCTTGGACGCAGTCCTCGGCACGGCGCGGCGTTGATTATTCTGTGCCTGTGCGTGGCAGATCGATTTGGCGTCCGTGCCCCGTGAGCCGTGGGACGACAGCGGCGGACCGATCCGGATGGGACGACGGGCCACCGCTTCCAGTTCCGTTCGTCATCGGCCTCCGTTTCGTCCTCGCGTTTCGTGCTCCGTTTCGTCGTTGTCTGTGCCGCTGTGCGTGTCCAGTCCGGCGGGGCCTCGATCATGTACGCGTTTCTTGAGCCGTTTCGCCGTCGCGTCGCACTTGCACATCAGCACATCGATCGGTCCTCCCGACCCATAGCTCATAGTGAATGAACGAACGGTCCGGATCACTAGGAAATAGAAATAGAAATGGAGAAGGGGAGGAGACAGCGCCCTAATTGCACGGGCCTCGCGTACGCGTCCCCCCTTGCAGAAGGAACCATGGGCGATTAATCGCACATGCGATGCAGCTCAAACGGTTGGCTCCTAGCACATGGCAGACTGGCAGTCGTACCATTTCTCAGGAGATTGTTTCAGGATCACGTTATTTGTTTATATACCGGTGGTGGTAGTAGCAGTATCATCAGATATCAAGAATGATTGAGTTTAGATATCTCTGTACGCGTATAATGGAATCTTTTTTTTTTGTGAACGTGCTTGGCATATTTACTGGGCTTATCCCTTATGCTACAGAAATGTTACATTATTACCATAATATGCAGGGATCGTCCATATAATCTCAAAGGAAAAGGAAAAAAAATCTTCCCGGCTACCTAGAGGCAGATACCAAAATCCTACCTCCATTTACAGGGTAGACAAGTTGGCTCCATCCCTCTCTCAGTTAAGAGGACGTATAATGGAATCCGGTTGACCAAACTGAACGGGATAAGTAGGAGGATTGTCCAAGTACATCTATATATGCCCCTATTCTGAACCTGTTTTCTGATGAGCCATGTTGCTGGTACAGCGGTGCTAGTATATTTATTAGTGATCGCAAACGGATCAAGTTGAGGTTTTTTTTCAAGCGAATAATGGAGCCTGTTGAATTGGTTGACTAAACAAAACGGATACTCCTATGCAGTAGTACATACATTTATAATACCCTGCTTGCCCAGCGGCTAGCTGTCTGCTGTCCCTGTCTGCATTGATCTTCTTTGCACCGAGGATGCGTGAGAATGATGTCGAAAGTGATGGGAGAAGAAAAACCGGTAGATCAGCGCGATGACTCCTTCAACTAGGAATATCCTTTCGTTCCTTTGCTGCCAAGTCCGGAGAAGAAAAACTGGGGGAACGCCGGGACACTTATCTTGTTTTCATAGGGTTCCAGGCTGAACCAGAGGAGTCTTCCTTCCATTCCTTTGCTGCAAAGTTCGGAGAAGAAAAATTGGGGGGAACACCGGGACACTTCTCTTGTTTTCCCAGGGTTCCAGGCTGAACTGGAGGAGTCCGATCTTATTATTGCCATCAAAAGTAAACAAACTGACGGTGCACCGGTCGTTCCAACTGCCACGGGTTTGCTTACGAAGCTGACCAGCGGCCAACGGTACGAAAACGCCACATACTTTATCCTAAGACTAATACTAATCAAATGTGGTAGCTTGTTGCTTGCAACATACCCAAGGAAGCTGCTGCTGCCATCGTCGTATAGCAGCAGCAGCATGTTCAGACTGAGATTGTTCTTCTGCAAAGAAATAGGGTGAACAGAAATGGGATTGAGATTGTTTTTTTGCAAGGAAATAGAGTGCTACTAACCACTGCAGACCATTTACTAATTTACCACTGCCAACAGCCAAATCCCGTGCTAATAAAATTGGTCGCTAGCTTCACCAACCCAACAACCACCTTGCGACGCGCACGGACAGACTCGACGCCCCAGATGACCAGATGAGACGGTGGCCGGCTTGAACAAGACTATCCTTTGGAAAATGCCAGTCATCCACAGGACCAACCGACGCTGTCCTGTTCCAGATGAGATGAGACCACGGCGGTCCGGAGTTAAGTAGCCATCAGTTCGGCCGTCGCCGTCAGGCACCTGCTGTGGCTACCGCTATATGCTTTTTCTGTTGTGGGCCTTTGGCTGCTGCTATGTGCTGACGCGCAAGCGATGGCGAGTGCGTGCACGGCATTTCCCTGTCCCTGACGATTGCCGTCGCCGGCCGGCGCCTCGTCCCGCAGTGCGCTCACCTTCACCTCAGTGGCTTGGTCGCACCTGCACCTGCCACCCCGTTCGCCTCGTCTTGTAGTCGTGGGGTGGGGATTTTTCCCCCATTGTTTTGAGCGGAGGTACAGTTAGTTAATGCGAGATTACGCAGGAAAAATTATCGTCTGACGCATGCGCATCTCTTGTATACAGCTTTTAGATTTGGTTAGTTGCAAGGCAGAGCAGCCGTGGGGCGCGCTTGCTTCGGCACCCTGACAAAGCATCGAGGTTGGGAGGCATGTTTAATTAAGCCCTGTCACACCCTAGGCCGCCGGCTAGTCACCGTCTACGTGAGCGCTCAAGCGAGTACAGGGAACGGATGAGAACGCCGGCAAGGACAGTTTTTTTTTTTTTTAAGAATTACACAGTACAACATAGATATCTACAACACGTATACACATTTACCTCTATGAACACACGTACATAAACCTATCTCTATGAGCACTTTTGAAGGACTGAGCCGGCAGATCTCGAGATTCACAAAGTCATCGTAGGCGCTTCGTAGTCGACAATAACGTCACCCACCACTGTCAAAACTAGCAATGGCTAGTTGTTGAAGTACCTGTTGGGTTTTGGGGTCTCTAGCATAGGAACTCAAAACCTCTTGCATCCATGCTGGCTAAGGCATCTGTATACTTTCTCATTGGAATATCCCATGCATACTATGCGAATGACCAAAAAATACACCATGGAATATCTCATTGGTACTAAAGAAAAATTGAAAAATATACCACGTACGAAACATGAGTGCTTCCAGAAAAATCAAGAATGCATCATGGAATATCTCAAAAAAAATACTATATGAACAATCCAAAATACATCACTGAAAATACCATGAATACTATAACAATAGTTTAGAATGTACCTTACAAGTAGTATGAGAATAGTCTTATTATGATATAGAAAAATTGTTTAAGCGAATATTGTAAGGAAAATAGACCCTTAACCCATTTACTTTGGATTTTGGTGTTTGATGACCAACAAAACTAAATTTGATTAATGAATTTGCAAGTGATTGTTTTGTAGTTCAATAGGATGCAAGACGTGACTTGGACGAAGGCGACGTGATGATCCGATGATCAACGCCATAAGCAAGACCTTAGAAGCACAAGAGAAGACCTAAGATATCAAGCAAAGTCCAAGCACGAAGATAGAAATCAAGCCGGACGCAAGATCGCGAAGAAACGAGCTCACAGAGGTGACCGGACGCTGGACCGGAGCTGGACAGCTCACAGAGATGACCGGACGCTGGACCGGACGCTGGACAGCTCACAGAGGTGACCGGACGCTGAGCAGCAAAGTGACCGGACGCTAGGTGCCAGAGTCCGGTCAACATCAGTAAGGTTCCAGAGAGCCGTTTTCGTGACCGGACGCGTCCGGTCAGTGCTAACCGGACGCTGGTCAGAGTCCGCTTAGTAGCAGAAAAGCAGGATTTCGTCCCCAACGGTTACTTTCTCAGCGGGGCTTATAAATAGACCCCCCAACCGGCCATTTGAGGATAGTGGAGCTGAGAAAACATACCAAAGGTGTTGATACACCATTTTAGTGATCTCTACTTACATAGTGCTTAGTGTTTTATTAGGTGATTGGCGTAGGTGTTTTGCGAAGTGCTTAGGTTGATTAGACTACCGTTTATGCGCTTACTCTAGGTTTAGGCCTAGTGTTTAGTAAGGTTTGCATATCTCTTACCACTCGATGCTTGCGCGCACCATTGTTCTACATTGGAGGGGCTTGTAGTCTTGCGAGATCACACCAACCACGTTTGTGGTGTGGTCGCTATCGTGTACCGGAGGGAATAAGGCCCGCGGCGTTTCGGCCAGAAGCTTGATAGTGAAGACGGCAGGGAGCATCCGAGAGAGGCTTGCCGGAAGGCATGTCGGAGACCCACTTGCGCATGGGGAAGGCCCGAGGCTATCCACGGAGTTACCCAGCCGGGAGCTTGGCCCTTGCGAGGGGCTCCAACGAAGACTAGGGAGAAGCTTGCGCGCTTCTCGATACCTCAGTAAAAATACTAGAGTCGTCGACGGGAGTTTATATATCTCTACCTTGCTCTTTAGCTTCCGTATTTACATTGATTGTATTACTCCTTTTGCGGTAGAGATAGCAACACACTAGCGAAATCGTTGTTGCACATTTAGATAGTTTATCTATTGCATAGGTTTTGCTAGGGTTAGAAAAAGAGACCATAGTTTAGAGTTAGAATTTTAAGTTACCTAATTCAACCCCCCCCTCTTAGGAGTCACGGTCCCCTACAAATGGTATCAGAGCCGGTTGGCTCAATTTGGACCTTTGGCTTAACCGTCGTTGAACCGACGTTTTTTAGAGTGGTTGGGATGGATACCTCTAGGCCTCCGCACTTTGACGGCACTAACTTCCCCTATTATAAAGCTAGAATGGCTTGCTAACTTGAGGCGGTTGATTTGGGTGTTTGGAGAGTTACTCGTGACGGGATGAAAACCATTAAGAATCCCGATAAACCCACGAAGAGTGAAGAAAAGGGAATTCATTTCAATGCTAAAGCTAAAAATTGCTTGTTTGAATCATTTAGTATGGACGTGTTTAACCAAGTGTTCACTTTAAATACGACACATGAAATTTGGTTAAAACTCCAAGAGCTCCATGACGGCACATCTAATGTCCGTGAGCAAAAATATTGTATAGCTAAACAAAATTATGATTCCTTTACAATGAATGATGATGAGCTTGTTCGTGATATGTATTCTCATTTAAATCTAATTATCAATGATCTCTTTTCAATAGGACTAACAAAGCTAGATGATGCGGACATCATGAGGAAGATCATCTCCATGCTACCACAAAAGAAATATGCAAGCATCATCACCATCCTTCACAACATGGACGACTTGAGCACAATGACCTCGGCCATAGTCATGGAAAGATAGTGGCATTTGAAATGTCACGCAAGATGGGTCAAGAAGAAACCTCTTTATCAAGCAAAGGCAAAGCTCTCGCATGTAGCGAGAAAAAAAAGATGAAGGGCAAGCAACTTGAGACAAGCTCAAGCTCAAGCTCCTCAAGTAAAGATGAAGAAGATGAGGATGATGATAATGATGATGAAGATTCAAGTAAAGATGATTAATCTTCCTTCTCCGCCTCTGACCTTGATGAAGAATCAAACTAATCAATAAGGTGGAGAAGATGATCCAAATGCTCAATGTCAAGGGTGTGTCCATTTAAATTCAAGATATCATCTTCACCAATCAAAGAAATGAGCAAAAAAAAGAGAGGATGCTATGGATGCGGCGAGTTGGGGCACTTTGTGGAAGTTTGTCCAAATAAGCCCACACCCAAGACAAAGAAAAAGGCATACAAAAACTAAGCCCTCACATCAATAAGGTCATGGGATGATTCTTCAAGTGAAGAAGAACACCATCACAAGAGACGAGGCCACAAGCACTCATCATCAAGCTCTTCTCGTGTGTACCTTCTGGCACGAGGTAACAAATGCTCATGCTCTAATGAGAGTGGTAGTGATAATGAAATGCCTTCTTATGATGAAATTGTGCAATAAAATCTTAATTATACTAAAGTTTGCACTAGTCAACAAAAGAAGATCGAAAAATTAAAAGAAAAGCTAGATAGTTCACAAGAAGCATACAAACTTTGTTTGAACAATATGAGAACTTTGCAAATCTCAATGTTGAACTATCTACTAAAATTGAGCAACTTGAGGCTAGTGCAACAACAAATGCATGCACAATCAATGATGAGCAATTTGTAAAGAAAAATGAAAAATTAAAAGAAAAGTTAGTTAGATCACAAGATGCTTGCAAAAGTTTGCTTGCCAAAATGGAAACCATGTGCAAACATTGTGATGATCTAACTAATAAAGTTGCTAATCTTGAAGCCATCGATACAACCCCCACCAAGACATCCAAAAAGAAAAGCTCTATCTGTAACATGTCTAAAAAGGATGCTTCTACTTCTTGTAATGACTTATGTTTAGACTCATCTTTGTGCAACCAAGTTTGTGTTAAGAAAGTTATTGTAGATACATGCACACAAGAGGTTGTAAAGGAGAATAAGCAACTCAAGCAAGAAGTAGCTCGCCTCACCAATGACTTGACTCAAGTGAAAGGCAAGACGAAGCAAGCTCAACTTTATCAAGATAACACCGTTAAGAGAGTGAAGAAGCTTGATGAAGGACAAACCGTGGTTTGCTACATGTGCCACAAGGAAGGTCACAAATCCTATGAATGCAAGGTGAAGAATGGAGGAGGAGCAAAGAAGAAAGAGAAGAAGCAAACAAACAAGCTCTCCAACATCTACACCAACAAGGTGGATAAGAAGGCATCCACATCATACTTGTTAAAAGAAGAAGAAAAATGACAAGGTGGTGGCCATCAAGGTGAACAAGCAAGCCAACAATAGGGTCAAACGCTTTTGGGTGCCAAAGAAAATCATTTCCAACATGAAGAGCACCAATAAGGTTTGGATCTCAAAAGTGAAGTAAGAAGTCCAATTGACTTCGGGGAATTT